ACAGACCACAAATCCTTGCCACGCCTCAAAAGCCAGACTGTAGGATGTTGCCGCATCTTTAGCCAAATGCTCATAAAGGGTGACCATGGCTTCAACGGCAGATTGGCATGACCCATTTCAGTAGACCCAACAGCTTTTGCATCAATCGAGATGGGAGAAGGGAAGAACCGGTGACAATTACTTTTTCAGGTGGGAGGGAAAAATAAAGGATGGTGCCTGCAGCATGCGCGGCGGATGCCTGTGCACACGGTTCTCACATAGGTCGGTGTAGGCAGTTTTCCTGGAGATGAATCCGGCTGCCGCATGTGGTTCTCTGAGCATTTTGGTCTGGCAGATTTCAAGCCCTTGGTTTCGAAATTTGCCGCTGATCTCACAGCATGCAATAACATGTTGGGAGACTCCGGCGCAGGCCGCTCTTGTCGTTCGTGTAGCAACACATGCTCCGCCCGGCCGCGTGTCGGTCAGCATGCCGTCCTGCACGGACATTTCCGGAACCGAGTCCATCTCATGCACTTCGATGGCCTTAGGAGACCTCGCTCAGAAACAACCCCAGTGCTTGCCTGAGCACTGGCGGCTGGATGACCGTGTACGTGTCATTGTAACCGCCCTCTGGCCCCATGGAGCCTGACGTGCGCGTCTGGCCGGAAGGACGTAGTCAGCTGTGGCAGCCACCCAGTCCCCTGTTTAGGTAAAGGTCTAGGTTTCTCGCTCGTTCTTATTTTGGGTATTTTGCAGCAACTGTATCTTGCTGACTTGATGCCGTGCGCTGTCAATCAATCCACTTGATACATCGGGACTGCTGCTTGCCAGCGTTTTTTGTCAGCATGCCAGTCTCGGTCGTTGGGGTTTGAATCTCTGTCCCGTCATGCTTGTGTGGCAGCTTGCGCGTGAGCTATCTTCCACCATGTTGAAGAATCCGCTGAGTACGTGTGTGCTTGATTTGGTGGTGCATAAATTTGTGGACATATTTTCTTTGGAATATGATTGATTCGTCAATTTATGTTTGCTATGACTTCAATGCTGTGGATATGTGTAGAACAGGTCTGTCCTCGCCGCATCCCGCGACCTCACCAGTACGGCATGCCTCTCAGCCACCCCCCCCAAAGGGGAAGCCGGCAGGGATGTGAAGGCCGTAGCCTTGCCGAGTGTGTCAGAAACGTTTTCCATTTCTGACTGCTTGAAATGGCTCCGCAAGACCGGACTCTACGCAATTGTTCTGGAGGCCCTTGTCAGGGATTCTGGGTCTGATTCGGGGGAGGAGTGAGGTCTCTTTATGTTGCGAAATTCGTTGCAACCTTTCCCGCTGCTGGTCCAAGACGCTTCCGCCGATGCTCCAGCCATTAGTCGGGTCCGTCAAAGCCACCGCCGCCGCCGTCGCCGTTGGTCTTGGGTTGCAACTGGGTGCGGTGCCCTAGCGCAGCATCGCGAAGCGCTTCTGCTTGCTATCCCATCCCAACTTCCTATACCCCAACCCTTATCCAAGCACGTCGCGACTGTTTTTTTGTCCCTGCGGCGAATTTGTTCCAATGTTGCATGAATCTGCTGACGGGTGTTGCAAACAACTGCTGGGGATGCTCCGAAGAGCAAGTTGGTGTTGGCCGCATGTCAACGTCCACCGCTATGTCCACCCTTGCGTTTGCTGCGCCCGCCCTTGCTGGCCCTTTGTCCGCGCCCTTGGCACGCTGTCAGGAGTTGTCCCAGGCTGCGTTGGTGGCCGTACTCTCTTCCTTTCCTTTCCTTTGCCCGTTCGAGTCAGGCTTCTGTCCTATGAGTACATGGGACAAGTCGCTGGAAACAGCATTCGCGAAATATCAACATTGACATTTTTTGAGCATTCTATGTACTCAGCTCGTTTGAGCTTCCATTTTCCATCACGTGCAGCGTCTACCCTGCTCACATAATTTGGGAAACGCTGGGCTCTAAACTTTGACAATCGATCATTCCATTTTGCACGGGGACGCCCCAAAACTCTAGCGGCTCGTGCCATGCAGTTGGCTCGCCACCGGCATGCAAAATCCCATTTACAGACAAAATTTGGCCATTGACTTGCCGTCAAGCTTGCCGCAAAGTTGTGGTGCCTTGACAGCAGCTGCTGATCCCAAGGTCTTCCGGGATGCCTATTGAAAGCTTGAGGTGACACACACGGCATGGTGCCAGACCATGGCTCACCATCCACACGTCGCCAACCAACAATTGAACGTAGCATGCGCCTCTGCAGCACATTAAGTTCATGATTTTTTTCCGGGGTCAAGGGCATTGTATGTTGGCCAAGCATCGCGCTAGGAGAAATCACGGCGTCAAAGTACTTCAGTCGGTTGCGAATTGCAATATGTTTGTTCAGCAAGAGGGCTTGTGTCTCATGAACTTTCCCCACGCAACATGGGCATCTGCCGCGCGAACTCAACTGCTGCCCTCCAGTTTGCATTTCCAGAGAAAAACTGCCCCAGGTATCTGTGCTTTCTGTTCGCAAATAGCATTTCCAACATCTCGTCATCGACGTCGATGTACCGCGGTGATTCCAAGGAGGACGTTGTGAATAGCTCAGTTTTGTCCGCGTTCAACTGCAAACCATTTTTGGACAACTCCCGCTTCAAGAATGTGATCGTGGTTGTGAGTTCACCACAAGATTTTGCGTACAGCGCAGGATCATCAGCAAAGCAGATGTTCGTCAACCGCTTTGTGGCACCAATAGCGTGGTTGCGCATTGACCATTTCGGTTTGCCAGCGTGATGAGTTCACCGTCGCCGACCATCTCCCAAGTCCGCAAAGCCTCAGGCTCTGCGACTGCCATGCAGTCCGGCACGTTGGGGGACTGGGACCTCGCATCCGTGTTCTGGATGTTGCGAATGTTTGCGGATGCATTCTCCTCCATCGCTTGGGGCAAAAGGTCCGTGCCAAAGCTGCTGATCAACGTTGTTATTACTGATTGGCCAATTTTTTTTCATCAACTGGGCTATTGCCATGCCAAACTACGGCCAAGTTGGGTGCTTTAGAGTTGTTTTCGTAAATAGGCAGTTAATCAGCAGGTTGTTCAACATGTTTTTTTGATGAAGTTGATGCAGTGCAGTGCTCACTTCAGCGGGGGGCCTTTTGGTGCGACGATTGTCAGCTTGTATCACAGCCCGCATTCTTCCCAGATCGAGTCTTCTGACTCGCCTGTTGTCTCAGTCGTTGCAAAATGTTCAATGTCGGAAGATTAGGCAAACCCAACAAAATTCAGGGCCGATCACAAAGAGACAGCCGGCTCACCATCTGGCCCACACACCAGAGGATTTCATGCAGCATGCTCATTCAGGTACAAGAAGCATGTGTGTATGTTGCTTTGATTAAAACCACTTGTACGGGAAGTCAGGCTCTTGGAAAGTAACCTCCGGAGCTGCTTGTGACCTGGGTTTGGAGGAATGCTTCAGGACAGAGTTTGCCCTCAATGGACCCAGGGTCAGGGTCATCCAGTTTCTTAATCAGTTTAAGACAGGCGGAGAACGGATTGCAGAAAACCAGCCGGAGGAGCGTGCTCGTGCTTCACCCCAGTGCAACACCTGAAAATCGTGATGGCGTTGATGGAAGTTGACGGAACGCATAACTTCATGGAGCGCGTTTGCAAAGCTCAAAGGTGCAGGCCACGTCGGCTCGGATTTAGTTTAGTGTGTGGAAGTCACAAGAGCATCACATGTATTAATGCTTTGGTGGCGGTGAACACGCACAGGCCATGGCACAATGTGGATCATCTTCAAGTCATTCGTTACGATGGTTGCAAAATTTCAACATTCATGAAGCATTGCTCAGGCGTCATCGTCGACATTTGTCCAAGTGTTGGCAAATCCGTAGTTTTGCGAGGGTTCGCCTTCCAACACGACAGCAAACATGGGGGAAGCTGCCAGAGATTTGGCACAGGGCACCATCGAGGCTGCAGGGAAGCACGCCAGTCTGTTGAGTCCGTAACGAAATGCTGCCAGGTGATGGTGTCCGAAGTAGTTTGTGCCAAAGAGCGAATGGAAGCTAGGGAGGCAGGCTTGCTCGTTTTATTTGGCTGGACCACGAGCATACAGCTTTTCATCTTTCAGGTGGAAGAGGCGTACCAAAAATTTGAAGAAAGCGAAGAACATATCCAGGATGTTGTGAAGCTGGCATCATAGCAGCCGCTGTCTAGACAATGCCAGGCAGTGCTCTGGCAATTTGTGGTCAGGAATTGCTGGACAGGGGTGCCATCACCAATGATGAAGCGCGGAAACTTCGAACAAGAGCGAAAATGCACCAACAAGATGCCACATGCCCAGCATTGCCCAGCAGTCCTAGCCTTGTTGCATGTGAGCATTAAAGTGTCGTGGACGCAAAGTCAAAGGCCGAGCCTGAGAAGCCCAAAATATCAAGTGCCGCGGGGAGCTCAATCTTTTGTGGGGTTGATATGGCCTGAAACGGAGTCCCCCCACATTGAGGATTGTCAGGCTCCCTATATGGGGACTATGTTAGTCTTTGGGCAATGGCTATCTAAAGCTCCGTTGAGAACCTTTATCAAATCCCAACGTTTGCGCAAGCGTTCCGGCTGATGTTGCTGGCCCCCACAAGCTGCTGGCGCATGAGGTCATGGCAGGCGCCGATCAAATGACGAATGAACAAATGATCGAGGAGGCTTTAAAAGGAAAACGCAGATTTTGGTCCCGCGGCTGTGGTTTTAGCATGTGTGCTTATCATTTTTGGTTGTCCTGCGTTACAAGTGCCATACCACGGAGACTCGGTTTGCATGGCCCCGAGGCTCATAGAATGGATGCGAAGAGCATTTAGGCCTGATCAACCACTAAGGCAACTTGTCAATTTGAGCGTGATTGCTCTGCGACGCAGGATCGACAAGCTACAAGATCGAATATCACGGGAAAGGCGCCGACGTGCCCACCCGGAATTCGTCCATAAGCCAGCAGCTGACACATTTTGCAACTGCATGTGTGTGTGTACGTGCATTGGGATTGCGCCATCCTGCACTAAGGTGTCCCATCATTGCAGGCATGGTGAAATCTGGAATGACCGCTCTTGTGTCCCAATCGCTTCCGTAGCAGGTAAACATGCAAACAACCTGAGCAACAGGGCTGGTTGTTGTTAGGACGTTCGAGCTGGTTACGTTTTTCTTGGTGGTGCTGAATGGCATCCTGACGGGTGTGCAGATCTCCGCATGGGGCTTGGTGGGATCAAAGCTCTGGTTTTTGAACCCAAAGTTTTCTTCCTCTGGATTTGCCTTTTGTCAGGTCCAGGGCACGGCAGGCTGCGCGAACCGCTGACAAGCACAATCTCTTCAGTTCTTGTGAGCCGTACCAGCTGACCCCCTGCAGATGAACTCGAAATTTATGCGATGTTCGAGGAGCTTTTTAACGCCTCGCCCTCAAGCCTGCGGCATGGCATTTGCTTGTGACATTGTGTAGTGCGACAATGCAATAGGGACCACTCGTCATTTTTGTTTCTGTCTGTTTGATTGATTTGTGGCTCAATCACTAGTCCGATTGCTGGTAGAGCAGTCCAAGTATTTGGACAGCCGGCATGAGCCTAGGCCCGGATAGAACTCACACAAATGCCAGCCAGCATACGTTTTAATGCTGTTCTGGGCAGGTCTTGGACTGAGAAATGTGATCACATACCGGCGCCCAGAGGAAGCCCTATTTGCATCTGATGCTGTGCCCGCATCTTAGATTTTGGCTATAATCTCTTCCTCGAGGCATGAAACAGAATCCTCAGCAGCAATCCTTGCCCGTGTGAGATGTCAGGGGCTGGTTTCCAGGTGCACAGACTCCCAGGAAATCTTGCAACCGTTCTTCTTGTGCGAGCCGCCCGAGCAGGCCTGGATTGCACTGCTGCGGGTTTTGTCCGGATGTACGTGAAAGCTGCTTTGGCTGCTCAGGTACGACTCTTCATCACTTTATTTTGCATCAGTGTCGCAGGGGGTCTGATTGTACATCATCCGGCAGCAGTTCGCTTCTACAGTCACTCGACTTCCCCCATGGCAAGCAAAAGCGCAGTGCAGCTAGTAGTTTCAGCTGATGGTTTGCACGCCCAACCACGCAGCAAGTGGTTGCATGTCAGCTGAGGATTGACATTGCGCGGGAACTTGACCCACAATAGTAGAAGAGGTCTGGGATACACGGCCTGCAAGGCTTACGGCCTCGTACCAATCCCTCGATTGCCGGAGAGCCACTTCCAGATGGTAGGCTGGCTGCTAGCCAGACTCTCAGTTTGAAACGTTCCTTCGCCACAGCAAAGCTGGATTGGGCCTGACTGTTTGAGGTTGTTTCGCTGTTGCTGGCTTGCCATGCGCACCTGGCGCCAAGATTTTTCTTGTTTGCCAGCTTTGGACTTTATTTCCTATACTTTGGCCAGCTTTTCTGCGAGCAGCATCCTCAGATTCATGCAGCAACAGCCTTTGGCTGCTGAGTGTAACAGGAAGCAGATTGCTTGCATGCCAGGTCTAAGCATGGCGGGCATGGGGCTTTGCTGCTTCCGTCCGTCTTGTTGCTGCTGGCTTTGAGTGGCGGTCCACGTGGCACACCTTGGAGCCTTGCTCCTTGGTCAAGAGTTCCAAAGATCGTGCACACTGCCTGTTGCTGCAGATGCACAGATAAGTGGGCCGCGGTAGCAAGCTGTCAGGCGTTCATCAAGTTGTTCCTGGGAGTCGTGTACTTCGCTGGAGCACTCTCGAAAGTGGTGGTGCCTGTGGTGTTTGGACGCCCTTGGCTTGGCAGCACCATGCAAGCCTACATCGTGGATGCAATGTGGAGTCGGCCACACTCCTGGCTTGTAGTGCAGAAGTTGCAAGCGATGCTCCTTCAACGTTGGTGGTTGTGCACCATTCTAGCATTGTCTGCAACTCAGTTCCAAATGCACTCTTGCAAGTTGGCGCTAATTTTGTGCACAACCACCCATTTTTGCGGCGTAAGGTCAGCTTTGGCTTTTGAATTTGGATGGCTACCGCTTGTACTTTTTGGTGGTAAAGCCGGGTCTGCTTGCACCCTACGCCTTTACGTGCTGCCAAACCGATTCCTTCATTGAAACATTCTGCACCTTCCATTCAGGTTCTTGCAGGAGCTGTGGCATTTTGGTTTCATCTCGGCGTCGATGTTTTGCAGGCACTGGCCCCAGCACAGTGCATTCTGTCTGTTAATGGCGCAGTGACAGTGTGGAGGTGTTTCTTGTATTTGCTGGACCTGAACTTTGCTGGCAGGGCCTGGACTTCAAGCCATTCTGGTGTCCTGTTTTCTGGGTCTTCTTACCGGATCTACAGTCGCTGTGGCATGGTCAGGCAGGTGAGCGTGTCATCAGCTGATTTGTTGAATCATGGTACCATCCAGATGAAAAGTGTGAATATAGTCAGGATTTGCCCAACGAGACATGGACGGTGATGCTCGCTCAGGGCTTCATTGAAGAGCCATGCCGTTGGATCATGAGCAGCTCAGAATCCAAAGGTAGGGATCTGTCGGCTATGAGGACCCTTAGACTTAGACACTAACGGGAACCGTGCCCCGTGCTAATTCGCAAGGCAGCTGTCGTTTTGTTTCACCAATTTGCGTCGGAAGCAGAGCAGCCATGCTTGTTTCTGCTGATAGTGTGGGGGACCGAGGTGCCATGTACTTGGTCCTGCAGGTGGTGGTTGCAATCCGATTTATGGACTGCAGAGAGGGCATGGAATGCTTGCCCCTCACTTGCTGCCCGATGTTTGCTGTGCCACGCAACATTTTCGACGATGAGCTGCGCGGTGGAGCGGCGGGCTTAGAAATGCAAAGCTTCAAACCAAGTGGGGCTCCTAACAGTGTTTCTTGCACTTGTTACAGGTCATGACAGATTTGGATCTTCGTGGAGGTGGTCATGTAGACTTCGCTTACAACTTCTTCCCGTGGATGTCCGATCTTCCACTCAGAGAAACTGACATGCAGCATATGCCGGGCCGCACCCTTTTCTGGACATCCACGATTCATTGTGATGACAATCTGCAGAGATTGTTCAATCCAGATTATTTGCACAAGGACTGCAGTTATGCCGTGCAGGTCTGCGTCCATTCCCTAGCAACCCCAGCCTGGATGCTGTTCCTTGGGCACATAAGGGGAAGATATCTCAGGAATAAACCCTGAACTCCATGACTTTCTGACCTTGACTGAACAGCTCAGAGGGTTGGCCGGAACAATGGTGTGAGTAGATCCGAGCGTGTCCCCTTTTGTCAGGAGCTACTGATTTGTGCGAACTTCGAGGTTTCACCTGCACTGGAGTCTAAGCTCCATGAATATGTCATGCTGCTTGAGCAGGCGCACGCAGGGGGCATTTAGAGTAGAGTGTTTTGGGCTTCGCTTTGCAAGGGATGTCATGCAAGGCTTCGCCAGCAGATTGGGCTGATCCTGGCAAGCATCTTTCCTGACAAAGTGAGCTGTTCAAGTTCATGATGTGCTGAGTTTGAAGTCAGACAGTGTTCAAGTATGAACCTCCGTCTTTGCATGACTACGTCAGTCCTGATGCTGGCAGAATTGGCGCCGTTGTGGAGCTGCTTGCGGAGTGCCGGAACCTGTTTGAGGCGCACGGGCCGCGTACCAAGTCCTTGCCCATGCAGGACTGCTTTCCATAAAGATCTGTTTAAGCTTATGAAAGGTGTTCATAGTCTATAGTTATTATGTTGGACCACCCCGTGCAGTGGAGGTTTTGCAGCGTTGTCCTTTATGCCTGTGACTGAGAGAAAGGGGCTTTGCGTCGGTTTTGCTCAACGTAAGGCCTGTGGGTTTTGTATGATAAAAGGTTTTCTTCAGCTCGCTCCTTCTCGTGCAGAGAATCAAGTGTGCCAGGCAAGTGCTGGCCGCCTCACACTTGAAACATTTTCTAGGGTTCAGTGACGGAAGTGTGCTTTTTGTGGCTTAGCACATCTTACTCATTTGGCCTTTCTGCCCATGGATAGGATTCCGCGGACACTGGTGAAATCAGTGTGTCTTGATTGCATGTTTCTCGCCTCGCTGCAAGACATAGAGCCACTCGGGAAGCAAGGTCGGCAAGGGCGGACCCGTCCTTCTTAATTTCATGAGCTTCTTCACGCCAACAGCTCCTCGCTGGTATTTAGCAGTGCTTCTGCAGGCCAGCCTAAAGTTTGATGTCTTTCATCGCGTTCTGCTTCAGGAAGGCCACCCATACGTGGCAGCCCACTGAGGCGAACAAATTTTCCAGCCTCTCATCCGAGGCACCTTGGGGTTTGGGTCTCGAGGAGCTCGGGCTTGTGGTTAATCTTCCTCCCGCTTATTTGCTTTTGCACTGCTTTACAAAGATGAGTACTTTCAGGGAGGGAAGGGGGTCTCACAGAGCCCAGCGAGAAAATATTTTGTCGCTTCTGTGAAATGTTTACAACCAATCCAAGTGACGTGCATGCACAAGCCGAAGAGCAGTCTAATTCGATCAAAGTCTCACCTCCAATGAACAAGTCCGCAGAAGCGTCGGCGGAGCCTTGCAAAATGCGCTTGCTAGTTGTCCTCCATATCATGAATACACAAATCACGAGCGTGTTTTTGACTGAGTTCTGCTTCATCGCAGAGATCATCTTGCGTGTTATTGCAGATGGATGGACTTGGACCGGTCCTGAGCGGTGTCGCCCGAATCCACTTTGCATCTATTTGCTGAAGAGCCAGGTTTTTTACGCCTGGAAACGCTAGCGACGTGGACTCCTGCTTGCATTTGTGTTGCTTCATGGGTCAGGGGAGACTGAGGGAAGCCTCGTGGCTACTGAGGTTTTGATCGCCGTCACAGGCTTGCTTGCCCGTACCAAGGGCAGCCTGATTGAAAGCATTGTCACTGCTAGGAATCATTCCCAGCTACATCCTTGGGCCGATGTTTGATTTCCAAAGCCCTGACCCCAGCTATTTAGTTGAGGTACTCACTGTGGGTGCATAAGGATTACTTGGGCCTGAATGTTTTGTGGTCGCTAAGGTCCGCTTTTCCGGATTGGCCAGGCTCTGCGGTGCATCCGTCTGGTGAGAATCTTGAAAAGTGCTTTGGGCCCTGGAGCTGGGAAACCTTTTTTTCAAATCTTTCTTGGGCTTTGCAAAAGTTTAGGTCCGCACGGTCAGCTACTTCAGAATTCTTTGGTCGCTTGCGAGAGCCTTGTTGGTATAGACATCCCAGCAAAGCTGCCAATGTGCTTCATGTACTTAAGGCAGGATGTTTTGCCCAGCTGAGGTGAGCGGAATTGTTGACAGTGGCCGCATTCTTTTATGGACGCTGACTATCATTACGGTGGTATTATACATGCGAAAGACTGAGCACTGTTCAAGGGAACATGTGCGGGCATATGAACTTGCAACATGCCGAGGTTTTCGATTTTCTTCGTACAGCTGTTGCTGCATTCAGACCTGGAGTTCTCCCAAGAAGTATGGGATGTGGTGATTTTGCTGAACTGGAATGCATATGAAGGCTTTTTTTGTCATACCTATACGCTGGCCCGAGATGCATTTTTTCAGCATGCAAGTTGTGAATTGCCCCAGGTTATATATGAGCACTTCATGACCGTTCCAGACGCCATGTTCACGCTGTTTCAGGTCTGTCATTTGGCCAGCCTCTTTTCTGATGTTATGACAATGTCGCCCTGTGCAGTGCCTGACATTGGATAGCTGGACCAGCTTGAGTCGACCGCTTCAAGTTGGCCAGCTGCTGCCTTTGCTTTTACTTTTAGGCTTTTAGAGGACTTCAAACCTGCCCGCCCTGCCCAGTCCCTTTGTTGGCATCCTTTGGCTGCTGTATGTGGCGGTGGCCTGTATGGTGAGCTGCTCAAAGCCGGTTTCATGTTTCTGAGGGCAAGTTTCACCCTGCGCAGGTCCTGAACAATCTTGTCATTGCAGTGATTGTGAACAATGCGTTTGCACGCGCTGAGCAGGCTTGTAACGTTAGCGGTGGGCCTTGCGTTGCTTTGGTGCGACAACTGCTCGAGGATGAAGAGCTCCAAGCCTCAATTGCGCGGGAAACGACAGAAGCGGAGTTGAATGATCTCAGGCGCTCTCACCAGTCTGAGAGGGTCCTGCGTTATGATGCAGAGCTTTTGGCTCCTGCTGTTGCTGTATGGAAGCTGCTCCAGGACTTTATTTGACGAGCTCGCCAAGGAGGGCAGCATTTACCTCTCGAGAAAGGACGACCAGATTCGATCTGCAAAGTATGCAGAAGTTGCTCCGGATGGTGTTGATACCGTATTATCGCTGGTTCCAGCAAAAATCATGTCGAGGAGTATGAGCAAGCCCTGGGGACGAGCGAGTCCCTGCTGCTTGGTAGTTAGCAAGATGCACTGATCCAGACCTTGCTTTTGGGTAAACTCCATCACCCATCTAAAGGCAAGCAGCATTTCAACTCCTGAGGTGGACGAAGCTGAAAATAGTCAACTTGGAAGAGCCCGAGATCTTGAACCTTTGGTCGTCCCTTATCTTACAAATTTGGAGCATGAGATGTCAGTGATATCTTTTCGCTTGCTAGATCTCAGACTGCTGCTGCAAAAGGTTTGTCGACTTTCCAGACAAAGTGGACCGTGAGTATTTTGCCTCTCAGATCCGCAGTCTGAAAGGCTGATAGTGATATGTAGTATTTCATCCTGATTTTTAAAGAGAGAGAGATATACCTACATATATATATATATATACACATATTATTGCAACTGCCTAAGGGCCCAGCTTCGATGTTTGTTCTCAAAATAGCGGCAGGCGAATGCAAAGCGAAGACAAGCTTCACGGTGGCCATGACACTGAAGAAGCTGGATACGAGATTAAACCAGGACTGCGGCTCATGCTGCTTCAGTAGGTTTATTATGAAATACCGGCATCATTGATATTACTTGTGCAAGTATATATAGATACATAGATATTATCTCTATCTAGTAATGTTGTTCCTCTTCTTCTTCGTCTTCTTCTTCTCTTATTTGATGTTATTGTTGGAATGGCAAAAGTTGCCAGGCGCGTACCAACTTGGAGGTGCACAAGAGGATGTGCGAGGCCAGTGTTGGATGGGCTTGTAGACCGGCTGTGGAAAGCCATCGGAAACGGTTTTGCGGGCTGCAAGGTATTTCTCCAAATGTCTCAAGCTAATGATTTGATGAGGGCTTTGCATGTTACATGTAGTTGCTTCGAATTGGGCCTACAGCTGCTGGTCGCTAGTGAAATGGGTTTGGTGCTAGTGACAACCCCTGCCACAACAGGATAATCTCCGACAATACTGGGGACAGGGTCAAAAATGGATTATGCATCGACTAGTTGTCAGCAAATTCTGCAAGGGCTAAAAAACTTGGAAACCTTTTCTTCAGATGGTAAGCGCCGCCAATTGCAGCAGTGGGAGCTCTCTATACCCATGTCCATTGAAGCACGAAAACCTGCAAGTTTTTTGGCCGTTGATGGCTTTTAGCCTGTGATTGGCCAGAAGCGCAGGAATTGAAGAAAGAATCCAAGGAGGTCGGTGCTTGAGAATAGTCGGTTCTCAGCACTGCTTTGTAAAGTATGGCCAGAGCCAACAATATTCTCAGGCACAGGTAGAGCTCTCCAGAACATTATTCGAGGCTGGGTGCAGTGACAGTCAGAGGTGCTTTGTGTATGATGTTGTTGGCTGTGTAGTTGCGGCAATTCGCGATTCTGACCTACCGTTGCGCGCTGGCCTTACATTCACTTCCATGGGCCCGTGCGGAACCTGCAGCACCCAGATACCTTCGAACGCCACCGTCACCACCAAGAAGAAGGTGCAAACAATGGGCGAGCAGGCTGGGTCCTGAGGGATCCAAACGTCTCCTGGTGATATATTGCTGCCACATGGGGTACTACGTAAGCATGATGGTGCTGTAGTGGGGTGCGTCCATTATTACACAGTATTTACCAAAAGGCAGAACTACATTCCTGGCTAGCTGATGTGGAAGGTCTCTACTCGAGTACAGCCACTGCCTTCGACTCAGAACAGCATAGCCCAAAAGAGTCGGGGCAGTTTTTGGAGCTGCAGTATGCTCATGGCTAAGGCTTACACCCTTGCTGAACTATCCTTATGAACGAGTTCCATTGCGTCCTGAAGAGTGGCCTTCTTAGAGCCGCAGACATCCGAGAATGCCGGAGAAGTGTGAGAGTCAGAATCTCCTGCAAGGCAGAAGGAAGGGTGGGCACTTCCTGGTGAAGTTGTGGAGCAGAGCCCGGAGATAACACTGAAGCCCCGTGCAAAGCCTGGTGGCATGCGTGCCATCCAAAATTGAAAAAGTATCCAGCAAAAGCTGGATTGAACAATGCTTTTCTGTATCAGATGTAGTTCGTATGTACCAGAGTGAAGGTGTCAAGAGAATCCAAATCAAGCCCCGATGTTGCCTCCCGAGCCAGATGTTATTCGCAATTCAATCCTAGTAGATGCATGTCGCGCTTCGGCTGGCTCTCTCAAGGAGAGCCGCCCGCCCACATGTGCTCACAGAAAAGGCTAGAAAAAAGACTAGCAAGCAAGGATGAGCGCGGCCGTCTTACTTTGTACATCTGCAGGTTATTCATGTAGACTTATACCGATGTTAGTTTGAGTGTTGCTGAAAAGTACTCGTAATGGTAAGAGAATGGGTTGGGACATATCCCCTCACAGTAGCTGTCCTCAAAGGAGCGCCCCTAAAGGGGCCAAAACGATCCCTATTTTGTTCTGTGGTAACTGTCACGGCACGATTGCATGGGGGAATGGCCGAAGGAATGGGTTATACAGTTATACATGTGCAGATTTTACGGGTTAGAGGGTGTTGGGGCTCCCTCTTCAGGGCTCCCCAGAATAAGGGGATTATGGTACTTCTGGGTCTGTATTGGGTACCCCGTACATTAGCTCCGTACGGCTCCCTATCACTCTCTACATAGTAGTTTCTACGAAATCTTGCATTTTCTGCAATAGCCCCACACGGCCCTATATCACGTTCTATATAGTCGAAAATTCCATTGTCTTTTCCATTTGATTTTCAATTATGGGGAAAAATCCGTAACCCTAAACCTTAAACCCGATATGATCCCTATGTGAGCCTATCTGTTCATGGTGACTACCATTAGAGACCTACCATCGGGTTTTCCTTATGTGCAAACTTTGGGCTCCAGCGAGTTGGGGGCCATAAGTTTGTTAGGTCGGCTTGCTGATCGAGGAGCAAGCTCGCCTTGGCTTCTGAAAGTTGCTCTCTGTTCCCCCCACTGGTCCTAATATATATAGATATATATATCTAGATAAGGATTATATGGGATGGTATAGGGACTATGTATACTAGACACTGGGAGATGATATGGGGTTTCTAAGGGTTTCTTGAAATTAGGGGTACCTTTTTGGGGGTCCCGTGGGTCGACTTGGGTCCCCTTACTTGTGGAAACTATCGAATACCACCCGATATGGTACTATCACAATAACTACGACCTACCCAATACAGTACCTTTTAGTGCATGATAGGTGGTACCTGGTACCCAACATGGTGCCATTACACAAATAATAAGTACCATCCAATGTAGTGCCATTATGTAACGGGGGGATGTTTTTGTTAGCAGGGTGCGGATTGCGCACTTGGCAGGACATGCGGGAGACTAAAGACAGACGGGCAAGCCGAGCTTGGCGACTCACTCCAGCGGCCATTTCACCGGCAGATGCAGACCAACATCGCCAGCAACGAGCCTTCCGCTCCCGAAGTTGGGAAGAGCCGGAAACAAGTGGCTTTGCAGAAGCTAGTAGCATCGTAACTTCTTGTGCAAAATGCTTTTTCTGCTGCCCGGGCTAGTTTTGACCGGAAACTCAGGTCATCCCAGTGCGATCTTCAACCTTTTCTGCAGCAACTGCCATTACTTCCTGTCCAAGCATGGCACAATGATGCAGATGCTGGCCAACCCAACCAGCTTTGCATTCGCCACGAGCGAGGCTCCTCAAGGAGTCGTGGTCAAAGGCGACTCCTGCAAACCGCCTGAAAGTTGCAGCTGCAAAGTTCGGGATTTCGAGTGTGGATGCGGAGCTCGTCTTGGATATTACTTGGCCTCGCCTTGCGAAGAATGCCAAGAAGCCAAGATTGCGCACAAGTGGTTTTTGTGCCCGAGGTCTGTGGAGGCTGAACCGCATGAGCCAGAGAGTCCGGTGGTGGAGCAGCAGCCTAACTTACCTCATCCCCAGCTGCTGGAGAAGGCAGTGGAGAAAGCAGTTTCCCCGCTGCTTGGATCAGATAAATTGTGTTGTAATGTCGCAAAACCGCAGATGTCCACGCTAATGCCAATTTGAGGTGCAGCCCGCCATGCGAGGAGCGCAAACTAGTGGCAGAGTTTCTAGAGCGAGTGGAGTACCTTGAGGTCAGCGACCTCACACCGGAATATGCTGAATCGAAGCCGCAGCATCCGCAGCAGCCACAGCATCCGCAGCATCCGCAGCCCGGAGTGGAACAAGCTTCATTTATGGCGCGTCCTCTTGCTGGACGCCCGGACCTGGCTCCCATGCAAAGTGGCCACAGAGACAGGCAAGCTACAGCAGCTACAGCAGCTACAGTCCTGAAACCGGACGTTAAGATGAGCGTCCCCAGTCGTGACATGGATGTGCCCAAAAGTGTGACAAAGCCAGCTGCAGTGACGCGCGCGCAGGCCCTGTATGAACCTGCCAGAGAGAGCACAGCACACGCGGAAGCTTGTGCGCAGGCAGGAAGTGCGGCAGAGTTGGATGAGGAGTTGGACATGGATATGCTTCAGGCTTTGCCAGGAAGCCGACTGGAATTTGCTCAGCGCTTGGCTGAGAAAAGAAAGGAGTTGGAAAGATGGCAGCAAGCACTGCAAGAGAAAAGCCAGAGATTGGAGGAGATGGAGAGAACGCTGTTTCAGCGGCGATCGACAGCAAAGCCATCACCGTTCCAAAGCTCAGGGACAAAACATGCAGAGCCTGCGAGCACAGCAAGCTGGCCATTGGGCACTGAGTTCGCGGACGGCGCGCGAGCCAGCATGTTTGCCGTGAAGGCCCTTGCGCGAGCAGGTCTTGCAGCGTCACGGCTTGCCATTGCTGTGGCCAAGCCCGTGCTTGGAGGTTTGGTGACTGCCGGTCACACTACCATGCATCATGTTGCTGGCTATGTCCAGTCAGCCTTGGCTAGAGCCGCAATTGATGCGCAGGAGCGTGAGTTGGCACATGCCACTTCCATAAGGCGCTCCAAATACTACAACACTAACATCACAGCAGCGAGCCCAAGAATCGATGGAAGCGGTGTTCCTCCTGCTCGCTATGGTCGGCCATGGGACAGCCCTGCACAGCCAAACTTGTGGAGCCATGGATCGATGATGTCTCCGGGATGGCAGCCGTCCCCTATCTTCCCAGTCTCTCCGGCACCCTCCATGCACTCAGTTCCCTTGCAGCCTGTCTACGAGCGTGAGAGCATTCTGGGTTGGATTCGCAGAAGCAGTGGCTGTGGCTCTCGCCACCGGCCGACCTATGCCTACCAACCCTGGGCTTATTCTGTACGGTGAAAGGATGGGATGCACACCCGTGCAGACATAATGACGTAGTTGTTTAATTTGTTCAGTAATTTGTGCACTCAGCAGCTCTGCTCTTGTACGATATTGCAGACCGAGCCGGGTACTGCATGGAGCACTTCGCTTTCATTCACCCGGCTGGCAAATCATAATTTGTGCACGATGGTCAGAGTCTTGAGGTCGCAGCACTGCCGCAAAGTTCTTCTGCTCAGTCTGCATGGTAGTGATTTGAAGCAGCCCCCCTTGTGCTTCATGTCAGCAAACCACTGCTGCAACTCCGCTTTTCCTTTCTGTTCAGCTCCCAACCATGCACCGTTGACGCACTGTCATGTTTCTCGGCAGAATGAACCTGTCAGATGGCGTGCTGTGGTGGCATGGTTGCATGTCTCCTCAGTGATTTTGTCCAAGGTGACGTATGCCTGGCAAGAGTTTGGATGCAGGCACGGCTCTGTTGCAGTTTCAATTTTTTGGCTATAAAAGATGAAAGTGTCAATCAACAGTTGCCAGGCGCTCGGCGCCCCTTATCTTCCGCTGGGCGCAGCATCCTCGGGTCAACAGGAGTGCTCACAAGCTGATCGATTTGCAGCAAAGGTTCTTTAGCGACCTGCGTTCCATGATTACGTTGCCAAACAGGACGGGCTGAAGCGCAGCCCTCGTCTGCTTCCGACTCGCAGAAAGGGAAACAGCTCACAGCCCAGATTGCTACGCGGTCTGCGGCCCCAACAAGTCGTCCCACAAGCTCCACAAGTGTTTCTGCTGTAGCGCCAGATCACTGCCTGGGTCAGCGGCACGTGGAGGCTTCAAGCAGCGGTGACAAGGACAACCGAGCTGCTGTAGAACAGTTATTTGTGGCTGCAGATGCTGATGGCGATGGGCTTCTCAGTCCTTGCGAGTTTGCCACTGCAAGATCAGTTTTAATGGCAGCAGCGGCGGCGAAAGAACCTGTCAAATCCCTGGCTGATGGAGACTTTGCTGGGAAGATGGGAAGAGAAGATTTTGTGACCACTGTCCTGGGCATGATGCACGCACTGAAAATTTCTAGCACAGATCTGGTTCAGCACGTCAACAAGGTGGTCGCTGGAAAGTCCAACAGCTTCGACAAGTCTGTGAGTAACCTCCGGCAACTCATACAGAAATCTATTGGCTCTACATATTTTGTGAAGTTACATGCATAGATATGTAGAGCAGCGCATCACGGCAAACCCTTTCTATGGGATTGCACTGACCTGCTGAGTGATGCCGGCGTTCAGAGCGTTCCAAGCAAGAAGGTGTGTCCAGTGTAGGAAGGCCCGGCCTTGGACGAGACTTGCAGCTTTTCAGCAGGGATGCCCGAAGGAGGGCAGTACTTCTGGGTCGGATTTGCTTTGCCTTCGCAACAGAAATTCCAAGCAAGAATGCACTTACTAGGTCTATTCTCTAAAGATAGTTGACAGGTTCGTGGATCGCGGCATGATTTTTCGTGGTATGCCACCCAACCCAAATCATCATGCGTCTGCTTTGTTGGAGAATAGCTTGATGCATAGCATCATGGTATTGCATGGCTGAGAACAGTTTGATACATGAAAACCCGGTCTTGATTCAATGCGGGGTGATAGAGTCGAAAGGGGAGTGTTTGAATAGCTCTGCAAGCCCACGGAGGGTCTCGGTGCAGGAGAGGTGTGCTTAGAGCATCAGAGTCAGTCTTTGTCTTTCTTTCTCTCTTTCATTCACTCTCTCTCTCTCTCTCTCTGTCTCTCTTTCTCTTGCTCAGTCTCTCTCCCTCGCTCCTTATCTCTTTCTCTCTCAGTCTCTCTCTTTCCGTCTCTCTTTCTCTCTCTTTCTCAGTTTGTGTTCGCATGGGATTTTCCCGCAAACTCTGAGGCATGCCATTGTACGTAACGTGTCCGGCTTGCCAGATGATTCAATTCCGCGACCTCTGTGGAGAACGGCAACAGGCAGAGGGAATTTCCCATTGCCTCCAGGTGTGGCCCGGGGACCAGCGATAGCTCGGATGGCTTTCAAGGTGCTGCAGTACCTGGCCATGCGAACCGAAGATGCCACCATACTGGAGGGCGAACTTCTTTCCAAGGTTGAAAGCCATCGACAGACCTTCAAAAAGCTCTTGGACAGAGCCGGTGAGATTGCCGGTGCACAGGTCCTACCTACCTCGGCTGGCGGGAAGTCAGTGGATCTTTTCCTGATGAAGTCGCCCACGACGGAGGTCTACCATGTCTGCTTACAAAATCTTCAACTGAGTGCTGGGCCGGACCCCAGGATTCAAGGGATTGGAGGCTTCGATGTCGGCCCAATAGAAGAGGCTGCGATCCCAAAGGAGCTTTTGGCTGCAATGTGCAGCGACTTATGTAGGTCTGAGACAGCTCCCGCCGGCTCTGGTGCCAATTCTGGTCCAGAACCTCTGCGAACCCTCTCGCAGGGTGAGATTGACTTGCAGAATGCGGCCCTTATGCTCAAGGCCACTGCTGCTGCGCGCCACATCCTTCGCATCCAGTTCAAGCTGGTCGGGAACGAGCTCAGCAAACACTACATTGTCTTGATTCCAAAGCTCCGCACAGTGCACACTGGACATGCCAGGTACGCCTCCCACGAGGTGTCTTTCCAAGGGCTCGCGCGCAGTTCGGCTACAGAATTCTCAAACTTTGTCATTGTGAATGTACCTGGAGATCAGCTGAATCGTTTTGTCGTGAAGCACGAGTTTGTGAACCAGCAGGTTCGGGTGGCACGGCAAGACGGCATGTCTGAGTCTAAGATGGATGGCTTGGTGCCTGTGCCGGTCATTTCGCCTGAGGAGAGGGCCTCCAACCTTGCATGTGAAGGCGAAAGAATTCGATCTCTGCTTTCTGGCCAAGGTTTAGGACGTCGGAGCGGTGAGCGCGACATAGCATATGCGATGAGACTAGGTCGACAATTGCGTCATGGCTACAAGTACGATGTTGAACTGACGGATGCCGAGCTCCAAAGGCTTCCAACTCTAATCTGGGAAGCAAAGCGTGGTGACTGTTCTGCTTTCAACGCGGGCTTCGTGTTTGCTTTGCGTGCGCACCAGATCCCTGCACGACTCTCCCTTGGCTTCAAGTATGGGCAGGCGGTTCGGGATGCCTGCGGGTCAGTTATTGCTCCACATGCTCAGTGCGAGTTTTTCGCTGAGGATATCGGCTGGGTTCCATGCGATGCCACTGGGGGAGTGCATCGGCTGGGACACGAAGGGACTGCTGCGTTGTCGTTCCTGGAGTTCCGGCCTGCTGGTTTGACACCTGGTGAGCTCCAGGATCTGGAGGGCGTACTTGGACCAGGTGTGGGCCCAGCAGACCTGCTACGTTCATCTCCCCAGACTTCGGATGTGCTGCTGGCCGCTGGCTGCTCTGCTTCAGATCCTCCGGCTTCTGAGCTGAACCGGCTTGCTCTAGCCTACAAACTTGGAGAGTTCAGGGATCTGCGCGCGTGCGACCTCCTGACGGACTCTGCACGTGTTGGTGCCAAGATGTTGGAGGGCGGGCCATTCCATGGACAGCCTCTAAAGCTCAGCCAGCTGAATGAGAACATGTTGGTGCCAGCTGAGATTGATGCAGTTATGGATCATCTCAAGGTTCGCCCACGTACTGAAGACTGGTCGAAGATGTGGCCCTACGGCGTCATATCCTGCCATTACGAATTGGAGGAAGGGCTTCCTTGACGTCTACAGTCTCTTATATCCTTGTACAGACTTTCGTTCATTGCGGTCATGTGCCTGGAGTGAGCCTGCCGACTCCACAATTTCTTCGTGCTGGGATCGCGCTGGAGCTTTGAGCCTGCATGATGTGCGATGTACCTGTCCTGATCGTGCAATTGTCTAGCGTATGCACCCTGATTTGGCAGGTGCCTTGGTAGCTGGCTCCGTCAAAGACTGGAGCCATCTGTAGCCCCGGAGACTCAGTGGATTTCTGTGCGGCTTTGGCAGATGAAGGTTTGTCAGAGCAAGTGAGTGCGATGCACGCGGTTGCATGTGGTCCAGTGCTTACTGAGCAGTGAGTGATTCTGTGCACAGAGCTGCTTGCAGAGTAGCTGCCGGCTCCCAGAAGAAGAAGAAGTAGCCCACATGTGGCCCGTTGCCTCTGCGCCCAGGTCAGTTGAAGCCATGCCCGTTGCCTTTCACCCACAAACTTCAAAGCCAGGCCTTTACCCTCACCGGCTGCAGCAGGCAGCGTGGAGGCAACAGGATTGTGTACCAAGCGGAGACATGTTCGGCTTTTTGTTTGGGAGGTGCGCTTCGAGCGCCAAAGATCTTTTCCTGGCAACGCGCTGCAGGCAAGAGTCTGTCAAAGTGCGGATGAAAATTTGAAGAGTGTTGGCGCAAGTGCAGGTGGTATGCGAGCTCCTTTTCACGAGCTACCCAGCTGCATCAAATGTGCACGGGTCAATCGGATCCGCATACTTCACACGGCCTATAAACCCAACCTACAAACAGAATTGCATTTTGGAACCCTGAATCTATGGATTTGCCTCCTTTTGCTCGCTCTGACGCTGCATCAGGTTACTTCTTCTTCTGGCCGGTCGCTGCTCCAGCATTTTAAGGGCTGCAGCAGTGATGCTGGTGCGGTGACACGACAATCTGTTGATTACCAGTGTTTTGCCCTATCATTCTCAGCTAACTCTAGTACACGATGGCCCAACACCCTATTGGAAGTAGTTCGAACCTATCAGCCCCTAAGGCCGCAATAGTGATTGCAATGCTATTTCCCCAAACCCTAAACCCTGAACCCTTGAACCCTAAACCCTTGGGCTAGTGTGTTTGGCGTTGAATGCATAGTGGCTAGTCTAGGAAGTTGCAGAATGTGGGAAGTGCAGAGTGTAGACACGGGTGCAATTACATTCCGGGGTGCTTGGAGGCGATCTTGGACTGGATTTTTCTGTATTATGATGGGTTGACAGGGGTTCAGCATATCGCCTATAACCCATGTTGGGGCGGCTGCCATGCTGGTACCAAGACGGCCGTCTCAGCAGGTCTCCATGGAAGGGTTGCAATGGGGGTTTATGGGCCGTGGCTTGTGACGGCGGAGGCTTGCTGCCTTTAGTTCTTAGCTGGACATTGGAACCATGCGATGCTGCCTCAGCCATGCAAGTGGCAAAAGGCCTTAAGCCTAAATCCTTAATCGGCACAGTTGCTGCCGTGCTTGCTGTGTGCGATGCGCGTGTCAAAACCCTTTATCCTTACACCCTTAAGCCTTAAACCATTAAGCCCTTAAACCCGTAAACTTTGAACCCTAAACCCTGAACCTTCAAACTTCAAAACCTTAAGAGTGTGCCCACCCAGGTCGGCTCTTTGGTGTGGCTGTCACTGCCAGAGGCTTTTTGCAGTATTGGCGAAGGTTTGGTCCTATAGGGAGTTTCTCAAGTTAAGGTACGTCACAGGGCCACAACTCCCCGTATTATCCTGATCTATCCCCCGTGTTCCTAAGGGCCATCCTTTGTTGAGAATCGATGCCATCACCTTTCAGCAGCAAGCATGGCACCACCAAGGTCTCCATGGGCTCTTGGCATGTGCTCCTGGACACAGCTATGGTGTCTTGGCTGCCCTTAGCCTTTCTCTTTGGACGTTAACTTTGGGGTTTCCTAGGGGTTCTAAGAGGGGAGCAAAAAGTTCAATTGTAGGAGGAGTCTTGCCGTCAGCTAAGGTGTTTTTCCTTCCTTTACACAGTCCAGCTTTTTGCCGTGGTCTCAGCCTTTGGATCATGGCGGGCCTTACTTTGCTTTGGCTAAACTGCTGGATGCCAGGTACATAGGCCACACTTGGGCAAGGGCTGGCCTTTTCATTGGAAGCTCGGTTGCAGATGGGCGCAGACAATCCATGCTGTGACTTTATCTAGTAGAGACACTTCACATGCCAGGCTGCTTTATGGCCCTCTTGTGGACTACGTGCTTGCCTACCATGATGCCACTGTCATTCGCGAAGGTCCAGCACCTGATCCCAAGGCCACAGCAAGGCCACGGCAAGGCTGTCGCATACGCGTAGAGCTGTGAAGCTCAGGGGAGGTATCTCTTTGCCATGTACCCGCATGGCAGGAAGCTCAGAGCCACTGTGAGTCGAGACCCCTTAGTTCTGTGAATGTTCGCGAAGGTGTTTACGGAGTTTGTCGTGCTTTCTCTGGTGGAGTAGGCTGTTGGCAGGCGCTCTTTCCAGGCAACCGTCAGTCAGCATGGACATGGACACATCTGCTTGGTCGTAGCTAATTGCTGCTTGAAGTCTGTGCTTTCCACTCTTTGCCTCTTGCTTCTCCTGCAGCCTGCATCTTTCCAGTTTGCCTCTTCTATGGGTTGCTGTATTGACTTCTGGCCGGCCAGGCTTATAAAGCAGACGGAGCAGGTGATAAATTGGATGTTCTTCTGGTTGTAAACTGTAAGCTCCCTGATTGTCGCAGGGCCCTCTGCCTTCAACTTTGCACAATGGAACCAGTCAGAGCATGCTCCTGCTCCGATGGTTTTCTTGCTATATGAACTGTAGTTGCAAAGGGGATTATACAGGGTAGTAGTATAGGGCTTATTAAGCGGGATACTAGAAGTTTAGACTACAGCTCATATGTAGAAAGAGATAATGCGGGTTTCCCAAAAGTGGGGGTGATGGGGGTACATTGGGATGGAAAAGACACTTTAGGGCTTCCTCAATTTGGAGTGGTTCCCAATAATAAGGATTGTAATATTAGGGGGTCTATATTGGGATGCCGCTATTTTGAAACCTACCAGTCTATATAAATGAGGGTATACAGGGAGGTGGAGGACCGAATGTGACAGGACATGGACAACAAAATGTAAGGGGCTCCTGCCCGCACAAGCCCTTTTCGTTTGGCTCGTTATGACGCAGACGCAGATCCCTCGAACCGGAACACTAGGGTGTCTGGAAGAGAGCAGGCAAATCAATGTTGGGCGTGCTGTCTCGCAATAGAAGTGGTAGTGCAGGCATCGCTGCACGCCGATTGCTCAGTTTGTGCTCTTGCGAGATTTTTCTTTGCGTGAGCAAACACATGCATTCAAGTCCCAACTAGCAGGATGGGGAAGCTTTGGAGCAGCATTCTTCCTTCCAGGCAAGAATGGCAAGGTATGTTTCAACAGGACTGCAACTTCTGTGACGTGAGGTATTCGGGAGATGTCATTGTTCAGCGGTTGCATCGATGCATCCAAGTGTTGACCTCGGCAGAAGGATGGTTTCTTGTGCGAAGCGAGCAAGTTTCTTCTAAGATGGGCTGAGCCTCGAGGCCCGTTCTTGAACGCGCGATCAACCGAGGCTGCAAGCCTACCCTTGGGAGTGTATGGGTTTCGGGTTTAGAGTTACTAGATTATTTCATAATGGAGAACCAGATGGACAAGCAAATGGAAAATGAAGTGGCAACTGGTTAAATATAGGGATCTAAGGAACTTAATTTCAGTATCCATGTGCAGGAGAGAACGTCATGTTGCTGCCTGGGGGCATTGATGAGATGAACCTCACGGACGGTGAGTCGAAGGATGGCATTGAGCAACAGTGGCCTGGTTTAGGGTTTAGGGTTCAGGGTAGTGATAATAGTAGTAAGAACAGTAGTAATAACAGTGGTGATAATAGTAGTGATGCAAGTAGTAGTTGTATTAATGCAAGATTCATTGGTTCCTAAGTAGGGAATAAGGGAATGCAGTCGCTATATAATCCCATATATAGCATATTCCCCCATTCCCTGAATCCTAGACCCTAGACTCTAAAACTCTGAACCCTAAAACCTTAAACACTAAACCCTAAATGCCTAAACCGTAAACCCCACACAATATGTTCCCAAAGTCCCTACTAGCCGCCAGTGAGCAAATTCTACCAGAGGAGACCAAGCTTGTCATGACAGACCGCAAGGGCTTCGTCAAGCTCCCTGGCAGTTGGGTTTGGGGTTTAGGGTGGCAAGTATTGAGATTTGCTTCACGTGAGCTGTAGTCTACATTCCTGAAAAGCAGGTTATATAGGGGACTATTTATAGGGGGGGACCTCAAAGCTAAGCTCGCCACCGGCCGTGGTTTCGCGCAGCTGGAGAATGCTGAAATTCATTCAAAAAGTCAAAAAGTTTCACTTTTCGCAAAAAGTTGCACTTTTCGACTTTTCGGGCAACAGTTCAAACAGCCGCACTTTTCGACTTTTTGGGCAGTTTTCTCACTTTTCGACTTTGCGGGCAAAATTTCAAAAAGTCGCACTTTTGGCAATAAGTTGCACTTTTCGACTTTTCGGGCATTTTCTCACTTTTCGACTTTTCGCACAAAAATTCAAAAAGTCGCACTTTTTGCAAAACGTTTTGACTTTTCGACTTTTCGGGCACTTTTCTCACCTTTCGATTTTTTGGGCAAAAATTCAAAAGTCGCACTTTTCGCAAAAAGTTGCACTTTTCGACTTATCGGGCATTTTCTCACTTTTCGACTTTTCGGGCAAAAATTCAAAAAAATGTTTTGACTTTTCGACTGTTCGGGCACTTTTCTCACTTTTCGATTTTTTGGGCAAAAATTCAAAAAGTCGCACTTTTCGCAAAAAGTTTGACTTTTCGACTTTTCGGGCCATTTTCTAACTTTTCGATTTTTTGGGAAAAAAACATTTTTTTTTTAGCAAAACGTTGCACTTTTCGATATCTATCTATCCCCCTTTCCAGGCCGAAATGTAGGAGATGGGACATGCTCCCTACGCGTCAGTTTCTATCTATCCGCCCCTTCAGCCGC